GGTCTGATGAGTCTCGATTTCTGCTGCGACATTCGGATGGTAGGGTCAGAATTTGGCGTCAACAACATGAAAGCATCCTGCCATGTATCAACGGTTCAGGCTGGTGGTGGTGGTGTCATGGTGTGGGGAATCTTTTCTTGGCCCTCTTTGGGCCCCTTGGTACCAATTGAGCATTGTTGCAACGCCACAGCCTACCTGAGTATTGTTGCTGACCATGTCCATCCCTTTATGACCACAAAACCGTTACTAGCGTGGTGTACCTAATAAAGTGGCCGGTGAGTGTATATATATACTGTATATAGTGTGGTATAAGTTTAAGCAAACTGTGTTTGTCTATTGTTGTGACTTTGATGAAAATCAGAACACATTTAATGATCAATTTATGCAGAAATCCAAGAAATCCCAAAGGGTTCACATACTTTTTCATGCAACTGTAGTCAGACAAATGCACACTCAGGAGGATAGAGCGACTGATTTTACACACAGCCAGTGTTACTTGTTAGGGTTCAAAGCAGTTGAGGTGAACTTGAACAAAGTAGCTAGCTTGTTAGCATCACATTTTTCAAAATATTCCTTTTGCAGAGATCAAGGTTTTACACCAAAAAGGAAAACCAACTCCAGCAGTGGAACTGACGGAACATCTAATATGGTGAAAGATTTGAAATGCACCTTTAACAACACAACTCAAAGATGAGTGTTTTACAGTATTTTATTTGTGTTCTAACTTGTAGGTGCCTACTCACGCAACTGATAAAATCTCAAAAACGTATGCTGCATGTACGTGTACTACGAGGCCAGGGATATCCAAGGATTCATTGTGCTGTCAGCAGAAAAACAATGACAGCAGAGTTTGTTTTTAACAACAGAGTTTGTTTATTTTTAGGACAGTGTTTGAAAATTTAACACAGATCGAAGAATTGTAAGTTTAGCATCTCAGCTATTTGCTGCAATGAGATGAGTTAAATAAAGTATAGTTGCTGATACTTAAGTTAAACCCAAATGGTTAATGATTTTTGTTTATTTATGTATAATGTTTTTCTAATAATACTGAATTTTGTGAAGTTATACCATGAACAATGACCTGAAAGCCTGTGACATAAAACATTTCACCATAGTAAGGAGGCAGCATTTGGTCACGCAAACATGTTTTCTGTAAATTAGACTGTCTCATTTCACAACCGACACGAGTGGCCTACGGCCCACGTAGACTGTGACCAACATGGGCTGCAACCCGTGAATTGAGACACAGCCACAGATCAGTCTGTTATCAGAGAACATGTGTATTTAGTGTAAGGTGTTGTGGCTCAGTGATTGAATGTCAGCTGTGGGACTGATCCGTATCTTACTCAGTCATTCTGTTATGTAAGACTTGGCCACCGAGACACAAAATTCAATTTGTCCCAGGGAGTCAGATTCTCATCAGTATCAACTCCTGGAAGAGGCAGCTTTTAGTTGAAAAACGTGCTGCTGAAGCCCAGAGCTGTGTTTGCATACACACTGGAATGCCAATTTTATTCTGAATTCTATCAAATCTATAGATAATTTGATAACATGCAAATCAGTGATAAGTCACAACACAGCATGAACTAAAGCTAAAGGCTGAGTGAGTCAAAGAGTTCTCCTGACTCGGAGCGCCAGTGTTTGTGTTGATACGTTCTGCAGAGGAAACATTTAATTCTGTTCAAACACAACCAGGAAGTCCAGTGAAGCAGAATAAAAGTCCACCACAAACATGCTGTTAGCAGTTAGCTTAGAAAGGATTTCACAGAATTCCTTTTATTACCTACACTTCAGCAAACAAACAAAGCACCATATGTCAGGAGAAAATGAATAATGTGCAATAAAAAGACCCGACTTCTTGTTTTTTTTCTGTCTTTATGACTCACTGTTCTGCAGACCCAAAGAAGTAAATGTTAATGAGACATAAAATCTTAGTCAAATGTGAAGTTTGTATTTATTTTTATGACTTTTTTCAATTAGAATGGTCTGTTTGTTTTATCTTAATTTCTTCACTCAGGATGTTCCTGCTGTACAGGATATGCAATAAAGTATTAACTTTTTTCCAGTGGAGTTCTGTGAAAAGCTCATCAGTTATCATCTTACCTGTAGCAGAAACTGTAAGTGTGACTAGTTTGATGAGGTTAGAGCTACTGTTTAAGAACTAGAGACAGAACTGGAAGTCAGAAACTGAAGACAAAAACTGGCATGGGACTAGCTGTGTGTGTGTGTGTGTGTGTGTGTGTGTGTGTGTGTGTGTGTGTGTGTGTGTGTGTGTGTGTGTGTGTGTGTG